GATAAATATCCATACGGAGACACCGCCTAGGTCAGGCGGAAATTAGGTACATAGCTTTGTTCCTTGTGCAAATTAAGCTCAGTCTAGAACTTCCCTTTTGACATTTAACTTGGAACAAAAGGGTTTTTTGCACACCAGATACATCAAGCTGAGACACAGCTGCCTAGGGATCCCCACCCTGAGGTACTGAGACAGTTAAAGCCCCAAAGAAATATAAGCAATTTTATTTCATTCATGATTTATACTAACATTATAGACTAGTTTAATAATTTATACTAATATATAAACTAATAATTTATACTAACATTATAGACTCCTAACATTTTACCTAACCACCTCTAGGAATGTAGTTTGAGCACATAAATTCCCTTTTTTTCCTGATATATTAACTGATTTTAGCTTAGTTGACCTTCTCTTTTAACCACTCCCCTTTTGGGTTGTAAAAGAAAGCCTGACCATCACTGCCTGAGGAAAACTCTTGTCTGCCTTGATGACCCTGTAAGGATTCAAGCCTGGTGACCTTGCCTTAACCAGAGCATTGCTATTGCATGGGTGTATAACTGTAAACCTCAGAGACTTGGGAGAACTAGATTGGAGGAGAACTAGAAGGACGAGATGGAAGATGAGGAAGAGCTTGATGGGGAAGAACCAGGTGGGTAAGAACGAGATGAGAAAGACCAAGATGGGGGCAGAACCAAGATGAAGGAATTAAGATAGCACTTAGAGGGAAGGACTAAGTAAGAGAGCAGGATAGAAGCAGTGTAGAGAGAACTCACTCAGAAGAATAAAGTGAATGAACTAAAGAGTTTCGTGTACATAGATTGATTTAATATCGTCAAAGATTAGACTATAAGCTGCTTGTAGATTCTTCCACAGACCCTGGGAGAGGGCTGTTGAGGGGCTGGACCCCAATAGTCCTTGTTAGTGAACTTCGGATCTTCCTGCCTCCATGTCCCAAGTGCTGGGATTACAGGTGTGCGCCATCACACCCAGTTTTATGGGTGCTGGGTTGAGCTCAGGCGAGCACTTGATCAGTGAGCAGCATCCCTAGGCTTTTCGCCTTGTTTTAGACACTGGGTCTCTCTTTGGTCTTGAGTTCACCCACTAGGCCAGGTTGGCTGGACAGTGAGCCCCAGGGACCCACCTTCGTCTGCCTCCCCAGCGTTAGCATTGGGAGTCTAAGCATGCACCACCACGTCTGGACTTTTATTTTTGTTATTTTATTTTACTTATTGTTAAATTCTGGGTATGTGGTATATGTGTGCATGTGCACATGCATGTGCGCGTGTATAGAAGTCAGAGGTCAATATTGGTGTCTTCCTTTAGCACTTTTTTACTGTGGTTTTTGAGACTGGGTCTCTCTGAGCCTGGAGCTTATTGGCTTAGCTAGGCTGGTTGCGTTTGAGTCCCTGGCACCCACCTGTCCCTGTCCCCCATAAAGCTGGGGTTGCAGACGTGTGCCACCAGGCCTGGCTTCTGCATGAGTGTTCGGATCCTGACTCAGATCCTCCTGTGGGTGACGCAAGCCCTTTATCTGGTGAGCTAACTCCCCAGCCCCCCACATGCCTGGCTTTTTACGTGGGTTCTGGGGAGCAAACGCAGGTCGTCACGCTAGCAGGGTGGCCCATGCCTTTAATCCCAGCACTCGGGAGGCAGAGGAAAGTGGATGTCTGTGAGTTTGAGGCCAGCCTGGTCTACAGAGCGAGTTCCAGGACAACCAGGACTGTTACAGAAAAACTTGTCTTGAAAAACAACAACAACAAAATATATATATGTGTGTATATATATATGTTACAATTTTTATTTATTTGGTGTGTGTGTGTATTTGTGTGTACACATGCATGCACGGAACGCACAGAGGTCAGGACCACTTTTGGAAGTCAGTGCTCTCTTCACTATATGGGTCTTGGGGCTTGAACTCGGGTCATCGGGCTTGGCAGCAGGTACCCTTCCCTGCTGAGCCATCCTGCAACCCCCTCTCCTCCTTGGTAAGGGCACTGGCAGTCACCTGCTTGCTGAGATCGAAGCCCGGCATCCTCTGACTCCCAGTTATAGATTGTTTAAGACTTAGCGAATAGAAAAGTCGAGGAGATAACACTGGGTTCCTGTCTGTACCCCATGTCCAGTTCCCCACATTTTGTTACGACTGACCTTGTTGCATGGAAGATTTGATACTGACACGGAGACCCTTTCTGGTGTCCACCTGTGGCAGAGCACCCGGCCAGAGCCCACACATAGTTGGTTGACTCAGTTGCCTTCTCTAACACTCTTGCTTGGGACAGCGTGGCGCACCACTGAGGTACTCTGCGGGATGTCTCTCTCCTGGGTTGGACGGTTGGTTTTCCTCATGGTGGACCTGGATTCTGCATTTTGAGGGGAAGAGTTCAGAGACCAAGTGGAATGGTCATCACCACAGGAGACCTGCCACTGGGCGTCGACCGGGATCAACTCTGAGGGATGGATGCTTAGACTTCTCCACTGCACAGTGACTCTTCGCAGCCCTCTCCACGCTGTCCTCCAGGGTGGAAGTCACTCTGTGACTGTGAGCGCTCTGCTGGTCCGTGTGATCTGACCCTGTGCGCCTCCCCGCCACACCCCCAAGGGTTTCTCTGTGTAGCCCTGGCTGTCCTGGAACTCACTCTGTAGACCAGGCTGTCCTGGAACTCACTCTGTAGACCAGGCTGTCCTGGAACTCACTCTGTAGACCAGGCTGGCCTCAAACTCACAGAGATCCGCCTGCCTGGGATTAAAGGTGGTCACCACCACTGCCCCGCTGGCTCCCACAGGCTGCTTCTCTCCTGAAGCCACTGCCCTCCTCTGAGCAGCCGTCACCTCTTAGAGCCTCAGCCTCCTTCCTCTCAGCCCCTAGGTTTGTTCTCCACATGATACCAAGTGAGTCTTTTTTAAAAAGATGTTTTATCTTTTTATATGTATCTGCGTGTCTCTGCACATGTGCGTGGGTGTCCAGGGAGGCTAGAGAGGGCACTGGATTCCCCTGGAGCTGGAGCTGTAGGTGGTTGGAGTCACTGGATGTCGGTCCTGGGAACTGACTGAACCAGACCCATCTCCCCGGTTTCCTTCCTTTTAACTCTTATTTATTTTAAGATAAATACATGTAAGAGCTCTCTGTCTCTCCGTCCCCGAACGTGAATTTTTAGTAGGCCTGACAGTGCTACCTTCCGCCTCTTTCCTCGCTTGCCCCCAGACTGCTCAGGGCTTGCCGCTGTTTCCCGCCAGCTGTCTGGCCCTCACCCTGAGCCCTCTGGATAGCATGGGTCACTGCGAGGCATTGTGCTCCGCGAGTGTCTGCTTGTCTGTGGCATGGCTGCCGGGGTGGAGTGGAACTTCCTTGGAACAGACACGGTCAGTGGTGTTCTCTGCAGCATCCTCTGTCCCTGGCACAGTACTCGACACAAAGTACGTGCTCAGCAAAAGCTTGCTGCCCGGGTGCGTGAACTGTGCGGGTGGATGAGAGCACCGTGCTTTGTCTGGGGCCAGCATGCTGTACGGGCGCTACTGTCTTTGCTTCCTGTTTTGTGAGGTTTGAAAGAGGTTCTCAGTTAGACTCATAATCCAGCCTCCCTGGAATCCCAGACTAAAAGCTTTGCAAAGCCAGACCGTTTACAGGCATTCTGAAACTCTCGGTTGCATTGTAGGAATTATTAGCCATTCAGAGAGCTGCAGTTAGCCACAAGGGGGGGGGGCACAGCCTGGCTCCAGGGCTGTGGGAATTACCCATGCATGGGGGGACACCCGAGTCCTCTGGTGCACTGAGGTAGTAATGTTGCCAGGGCTGTTCTGTACAGGGGACACTTGGGACTTTATCAGGATGCTCATGTTCTTCCTGAAGCCATTGTCCTCATTGAGGCTCAGATGTGTCCGTATGTCCTCAAGGTCATGGGCTCTTGTCTTTTGACCAGCTGGAAACACTTCTAGCCAACTTGTTGAGCTTCTGAGTTGGGAGCTGCTGCTGTCACAGGGGAGCATAAACTCCAGGAGAGGGCTGTCCTGGTTAGTTTTTTTTTTTTTTTTTGTCATCTTGACACAGCTGGAGTTACCTGGGAAGAGGCAATTCAGTTGAGCACATGCCTCTATCAGATTGTCTGTGGGCAAGTCTGCAGGACATTTTCTTAATTACTGAGTGACGCCGGAGGGCCCAGCTTATTGATTTGGGTTCTACCTCTGGGCATGTGGTCCTGGGTGCTATAACAAAACAGGCTGAGCAGGCTATGAGGTAAGCAGCATCCCTCATGACCTCTGCTTCAGTTCCTGCCCTGACTTCTCTCAGCGATGGAGCATGGCCTGAGAGTTCTAAGCTGGAATAAACCCTTTCCTCTCCAAGTGGCTTTCGGTCATGGTGTTTTATGTAGCAAGAGAAACCCTAACTAAGACGGCCGTTCTGGGCTGATTCGGAACGGGTTAAGTGGGCTAGGGGTGGACCTGGATGTGACACAGATCCGGGTTCCAGTGCTGGCTCAACCAGTGTGCAGCGTTGTGACCCCGGACAGGTGCCTTGACTCTGATCCTCGGACTCTGAGCCATAGCAGACAGGAGAGGCTGTCTCCCTCATGCTGGGCAGTGAGGCTAGCCAGCACAGCTGAGGGATGCTCATGACCCCAGACACTTCTTCCTGACCCCACCCCCAGGCTAGGGGAGGCTTCAGAGGCAGGCGCTGCAGTTCTGGCCTTCCTTCAGTGAGCAGAACCACCTCACCGTGGCTGGGTTAGTGTGGGTACTGGCAAGTATCGCAATAAATATGCAGAGCTGTACATGGTGTTCAGAAGTCTTGAGAACACCCACGAGGAGAAATATCAGGTTGGGGATTTCTTGGCACACACCCGGGTGTAAGATAAATGAGCCCAAATGTGACATTCAAGTCAGCGTGTTGTTCAGCCTGACTTGAAAACTTGCCATGTGCCTTCAGGCAGGCGGTGCCTGGTGGTTCCAGGAAGCCGGCAGCAGTGTGGCTTGGCAGGCTCACTGGGGGGTCTTCATGCCTGTCCAGCTTTTATTTCTGTAAAATGGGCATGGCAGCACCTCCAGGCAGCGGAAGCTGACCAGGTGGGTGCTCTCAGTTCTGGGTCTGAGGGAAGGAAGTGCCTGGGATCTCATGCACTGTAGAGGAGGGACTGAAATTTTTGTGTAATGTGAGCAAGGCTGTGCAATTAGGAAACAGCAGAGACCAGGCTGCCTCCAAAAGCTCCGTGTGCTCTCGCAACAGTGGAAGTGGATGGGAGCCCCGGGCTGAGAAAGTTCCCTGGGACGGTAGCTCTGGGTTCCCCAGCCAGCACGGGCGGGGGAGAGCAGTAACAATGGTGGCAGTTGTGTGGAGGCCCCACCTGCACAGAGCACCTCTGGATGCCAAGGGAACCTGGCCGTGGCAGTGTGAAGCTGAGACAGAGTGGCTGACAAAGGTGAGGGGCAGCGGCGGCGGCGGCGGGGGGTGTGGGGGTCGTTTTGGCTCACAGTCTGAGGGCACAGCCCTTCGTGGCGGGGGAGTCTTGGCAGCAGGAGCAGGAGGGCTGGTCGCACTGCATCTGTAGTCAGGCAGCGGCAGGAAATGCTGGTGCCCAGCTCCCTTTCTCTCTTTGTGCAGCAGAGCTATGGGATGGTGCTGTCCACGTCCAGGGTGGGCTTTGCTCCCCATCGACCCAGTCTAGAAGCCCCTCAGACACGCCCCGAGGTTCGTTTCCATGGTGATAGGTTGACGGTTGAGGCTGGCCCTTGTAGAGCTCGACATGACGGTGTGAGGTGTGAAGTGGGATCGAGGGGATGCGGTCTAACCTCAGCCTGGACAAATAGGGCCCAGGGCAGGATGGAGAAACAGGACCACGTTGTGGTCTGTCCCTATTGGCGTTGCTTTCTCCCCAGAATGTGACGCCTCCCGAGCCTTCGTACAGGGCGGATCTGTGCCCGTCCTGAACTTACTGCCCCTCCTTAACTTTCCTTTTTTTTTTTTTTTTT